GGGGGGGAGCCACTCTGGAGGCAGAAGAGCAATGCTGCCACTTAGACATTCTCTTTTCTTTTAAAGATACGTTTCTTTGTTTTTGACAATTTCATACATGAATACAATGCATCTTGATCATATCTACCACCTTTTAAACCCCTGATCCCCCCCTCCTCACCATTTAAGACACTTTCTAAACTATGGAACAAATAGTTTAATTATTCTAATCATTTTTAATAGTTTAAAAGCACTATTTAATTGGAACGAAATTACTCACCTATTCAAAGACCTCCTATCCCCCTCTGGAATCAAACAACCCAACCCACTGACTTTCTTCTTCATCATTTAAGGGTAATTAATAGTCTAAATGTGAAATTTTCAATATGCATTAAGTTTTTAGGGAATATTGCCAAGGTCCTGAGCCTAGAGACCAAGAGTCCTCTACAATTTCTGAAGCTCAGGCATGAGTGTTTTTCTATAAACCTCCTCTGTCTTGTCTTCCTAGTGTTGTATGTCCTTGGGTATAGATGGAATTATCATATTGCTGGGGAAGCCAGGCTGTGGGGACTTGAGAGTGGATTTCCTTCTGAAATCCCCAATCTGTATCTGAGAAAGTGCTTGGCACACCACATGTTCCAGCCGGTAATCATGAGAAGAACACTCAGAAGGGCCTGCTTCAGTAGACTTTATACATGGAAGGCATTGTGTAGCAATGCCCTCTGTGCCAGGCTGTGCACTAGACACAGTTCTCTGCCATATGCTGTTCATTTTCCTTGATTTTGCATCTCTTTTATCTTCTCCCAAATCTTACAAGAGCAGATATGATTGTGTTCCTCTTACAGAAAGTACTTAGGTCGAAATATGGGGCTAGTGATAACAAATGACACAAACAGTGTCCACCCTTGTGCACTTCATGTGAGCCTGTAACGAGCTCTCTGTCACTGAGTATACAATAGCCCCTCTTCCAGATCATCGGCTCCACAGACAGAGGCCCATTTAGAGACACTTCTTCAGCATCACTGAAATTTTAATAATCACCCAGTGTCTACTTATCTTTAAATATCCAAGAGAACTCATCAGAGCTGTGAGTTTAAAAATATAGAGCTGTCTTTTCAGAAAAACAAAAGGAACACTCTTTTTATAATGAAATGTTTTAATGTTTATTTTGTTTATAATTTGCTGCCTTTACGGTGTTGCCTTGCCCTTAATTTTCCATCTCTTTTATCTATAATCTCTTTACCTTTAAACGATCCTTTATCTTCCCTGGAAACAGCTGACATTGCTGTTTTTCAGTTCAGGACATTTTCATAATTACATTTTTAGCCTTGAGGGAAAAATGGTATACCTCATCAAATCCTCTGCCTTGGTAAGTGAGCCTCATGAACAGCCTGGACACTACTTTCTGCTATTATAGCTTAATTGTGAATTAGGAAAAAGCAAAATTGCTTTATGACGTTGGACCATGGTAAATTCTATTTAAAAAGGAAACATCTACAAAGTATTTTGTCACCATGGACATACCAATAATAAGAATTCTGAAGTGTTCAGCTCTAGTGAGAGGGCTTAACCCACAGACCCAACATCAGCCAGCACCTACTGAATTGCTTTTCTTTCTGTTGGGGAACTATTGCTCAAGAGGAGACACATTTCTTGTGTGTGTGTGTGTGTGTGTGTGTGTGTGTGTGTGTGTGTGCGGTGGGGAGTGTCTGTTGTTGCTTACAGTAATCTTGTGTTTGTAAATTCAATATTTCAGAAATGCATCTTGTTGGAGCTGTTTTCCACTCTCCACAGCAGTTAAGTGGACTTTGTAAAGAGGTACCAGTAGGGCTGCCTGACGCCATGTAGATGCACAGAGTTGTCTGTGTCATCCGTCAGTTACCTCAGGTACACATGGAAAAGCCTCTGTTCACTGTGATGTCCAGGAAACATCTTGTTCTTTGATAATACTTGGCATTCATCATGGGCTGCACTTGTCTTCACGTTTGCTATGGAGAATCTGTAGGGAGATTTGTTGAGTGTCTTCATAGATTCCCTTTATGGTTTTGTATTTTTTTCAGCCTTGTTTGTTTCTCCATTTTATTTTTTTAGTAATTTTTTAGTTAGCATTTAAACTAGTGTGCTTTATTGTGACATTTTATGCATATATCATTATATTTGTTTTTATTCATCATCGAGGCCCTCTCTCCTCCCTGTTTTTGGTGATATCCTCTCTGCTTCCAAATAGCCCTCTTTTGCCTCCAAAGTCTGACTCCAGCATCTTCCTAGGTGTAAACATAAGGCAACAAGCCCTTTGTACAACTTAATACTCTCAGTTACTCCTCCTTGTAATTCTTGCTTTTAGCCAAGCTGTGATTCTAGTTAGTCTATGGAGAAACATTCAAGTACCATTATATCCTGGGCCCTCCCCATGGTCCCTCCTCTCCAGTAAAACAAAACCAAACAAACATTGTGCTTCTGTAGAAAACCATCCATCTGCCCTCCACAGCTAGAGTAGGCTGTGTTCTACTCCAGCCAATTCTTTACCAATAGAATGTTTAAATGGTATCTCATTAATAGTAATTTATAAGTGGTATCTCATTAATAATCATATGTTATGTGTGGCTGCTCTTGGCCACCACTAAGTCTGAGTATCAAGCAAAAGCCTGGAGATTTGGATGAA